CGCCGTCAAGAGTCCACAGGGATGGATCTGACACTAAACTCCACGGGAATGGGACTGTTTCCCGAAATTCGCTGAACGGCCGTCACTCGAGGCGCGGGCAAAAGCTATAAAGTGCGTTCTTGGCCAATGAAATGATCACACTGAACCAAAACCAACACAAAACAACCAAAACCACCACTCTTATATCCTCTAGTGCAAGCTCTGTGGAGTTCGGGGGTGTCGGATCAAGTATTAGATCCTATAGACCGAAACGATGTATGGTAGGGTCAACAAGAAACGTTCTCGGTCAATTGGTTCTTTGAGAACTAGGCTCTCAAATGGAATATTGGGTCTGATAGTGTTCAAGTTACAGCCTGTTAAGGTCTGAGGTTTGTTGGGTGTTCAATAGAACTGGTAAGTTTCGCAATAGCCCGTTTCCGACTATGCACGTTCTGCAACGCTTCCAAGCTTCAACGAACTTGGGGCTTTTAACTCAAAAGATCACAACTGGTTTTATCAATCAAAATCGTTCGTTCAAGCCTTTCTAGTACTAGTACGGACAAGCAACAAGTCACTATACAGAGCACCACTACCCAGACCCTGCGATGCGATGTGCACTACAGCCCCGGAATAATCTGCTGCCTAAATCTACGAGTCCTGACTCCTTATATACTGTGCTGGGATTAAGTTTACGATGCTACTATTATGTCTTCGGATGCCCTTCCGGTCCCCATGACTCTCCCTGCTCCACAACCTATTCCGCCATTGGTGCCCTGGCACGTCGAGATGTCTTGTTGGGCAGTTTTAACCCGATCGTATTGAAATTGGTTGTCTTCGGGTGATATCACTGAAACCCTCCTGTCTTGTACAGGATCTTCTTCGTCTAGTGGGTGGCCCTAACTCAGGGCAGGCCTTATAGCCTCGTCTGCGCTTCTTGGTAACTTGTCCACTCTCTCTAACAGGTCTGATATTGGAAAAGAACCAAGTCGAACCGTCTTGATTCGATCGGGAATGGTCCGAGATCAAATCGTGATCCCGGATCCAATACGTTTCCGTCTTGTCGCATCAAGTCAGCTCCTATCCGCTTGTCTCAGCCGGAAGAAGAAACTCCGAGTCCCGGCCATCATTCCTACACGTGCCGCGACGCGTCTTGAGCCATCAAGTCGCAACAACAAACATCCCATACTGAAGGTGAGTCCAGATCGTCTCGAGTTTTAACTATTGTGCGTGTTTTCACTTCCTCTTGATCCAAGTCTAGCAATGGCTCATCCAGGGCGCAACCTTGGGTACCATCTTGTGTAGTCAGACGCACTTCTAGAGGGAACCGTAATCCGCACTTTCCAGTGACTTCATAACGTTCTCTTTCGTAGTGGTCTTAAGCTATATGACTGGTAGCTTTCCCGTTCAAGGCTCACGGTAGCTCTCAATTGGGGTGTGAGCGTGTGGTAGTACTAGTGAAAAACGCAAAAACTGCGCCTTTCATATGTGGTCATTTACACGGCTTATCATCGCGGCCCCTGTCTAAAGCAAATTTCATTTCGGTACTTGGCCCTGGTAGGATATGATACTGCAGCCTGGCTTTAAATTTGGGGAGATGAGTACCGGCACAGGAATGGTGCTTAAGTGGCATATTGGGCCTGTCCTTTCTTTCTTAAGCCTTCTCAATTCCCGGAGATATTTGGATCCAAATGAATAGCATGCAACCTTTAACAGAAAACGTGTCCCCTTGCAACAGAAGGCTTTTTGCCGGCTCCAGCTTGAACTGAAAAGCTTAATGTTCAACTCAAAAAAATCTTACAAGACTCCTGTAGCGGAGCACGGGTTCCTGCTAGTCACATATTGAAGCCCCGTGTGCATGCAGTTGAAGAGCCGCACCTTGATTCGAACAAGGTCCTCGGAGTTAATCTCGGTGTGATCATCACATATTGAAGCCCCGTGTGCATGCATACACCATACCGCTTCTCATACCCACTCCTGGAAGCCGTCAGGTTCTGCTATGTAAATTTAACACCAGGTAATTAAAGGGAACACAGCTAGCCTGAGATTCACAGGCGCGGCAGACTCAGCTGGACCTCACTTCGAACAAGGATCGTCTTCAAAGCTCGACTTGCCACTCCAGGGACGTTCTGTTATAGCATAAACGTTACGAATAGAGAAGGCCCCGTGTGCAGCCGTACACCATACTGCCTGCTAAACCTGTTACCTCCTTGGTACCGGTTAGGTTGTGAGTGCGCCTAAATTTACCATGGCACAAAGCACACAGAAAAAAAAATGTCACAAGAAGAGATAGAGCAGTACCTTGGATCGAACAAGGTCTTCGGGGTCAACGCGATGCGATCACTATCTATTGAAGCCCCGCGTGCATCAATACACCATACTGCCTCTCTGACTGGCATTTCACCCCGGCCACTCACCCCAGCCACCTTGAAGTTCACAGCACTTCAGAGAATGGCCTTTGCAGGAGCAACATTCGGTTGGTCTCGGATTACAATGCATTGTACAATACAAAATCACAACACCACCCCGTTTGATGCAGGCGGTGGACGTTACCAGAGGCTCCACTGAGTTGGGGAGGTGAAAAAAGTGTCGACCTCGAAGAGCAGCACCTTGATTCGAACGAGGTCCTCGGGGTTGAATTCTTCAAAGATCCAACAGATATATAAGCCCCGTGTGCCTTCATACACTATACTGCTTCTCATACTCAATTATTCCAGCGGTGAAGTGCACTCAAATTTTGGAAGAGAAGGGGAAAAAGGCAGAACCAATAGCGAACAAGAGCAGCATCTTGATTCGAACAAGGTTCTCGGGGTTACAGTCTGAGTTGGATTACCTAGAGACACAAGACACAGAGAAGCCCCGTGTGCAGCGGTACACCATACTGCTTTCTATACCCTGGTCAGGGGATGATAAAGTGCTGTTGGATTGTGGAATCTGAAAAAAAAGGGTTGCCTTTAGAGGAAAGGAGTAGCACCTTGGGTCAAACAAGGTCCTCGGGGTTGAATTTGCGGACACTATCGAAGCCCCGTGTGCAGCGGTACACCATACTGCTTTCTATACCTAATCATTTGAGTGGTGAGGTGTGTATCGGTCAACACACAGACTTGAAGACACTAAATAAAAATGTGTTGATTGGTTTCAATTCTGCTAGAAACTGTCCATCGAATCAATACACCAGACTGCTTCCCATTCTTGATTATTTGTGCAGTTGGCTACTGCGAAATTCATGAGACCTTCAGGGAGCGGAGAAAAAAAATGACAAGGACGTGAGGATAGAGCGGTACCTTGAGTCGAACAAGGTCCTCGGGGTTACAGCATAAACATTACGAATAGAGAAGGCCCTTGTGCATCGATACACCATACTGCTTTCTCTATCCCAGTGGATCTTCCCTCTTGTCCTCTCAATAATCAAGTAACTACACCGACTCTGAATTGTGACTCTAAACCCATCCTCGTCGCCAGTCCTGCGATCGGTTATCATATCTCATCAACCTCGTCCGAGCCCGTGCTCGGCGCAAATCCTTGTGTATCGCGTCCCGGTGGTTTATGCTTGATCCTCAGTCTTCTTCAGTCTTCTGCCACGGGCCAACATTGTCAAAATTTTGTCTGCATATGCAGCTTACTGATTGTAAACTCTTCAGTTCAATTCAGCAATTAAACCAACTTGAGACCGTGACTTGGCTTTGAATTGTCGCGATCCGGAACTGCGTTAGTTGATTGTTTTTTGTCGTTTCGTCTCGTTTGACTAAATGCGTCAGAGGCTGGACCTTGAACCAGTCTAGCCAGTTGCACGTTCACGTTCCGGCACAAATTCGCTTTCCGTTTCATTCCAGTGTGTTACAGAACGGTTCGTCCTTAGTCTTCCATGTAGCGAATTGAACGGTGAAATGTTGGTTGCTGGGCGAAGTCCAAAAAAAAGAAAAAAAAGGGGGAAGCTAGCAAAGAAGAGCAGCACCTTGAGTCGAACGAGGTCTTCCGGGTTAACTGGCATCCGTGTGGAACGTCTAACTAAACCCGGTGTGCAGCCTTACACCATACTGCTTTTTATACTCAATTATTTGAGCAGTCAAGTGCACCAAAATTTGGAAAAGCAGAAGAGGGTCACACAAGAGCAGTATCTCGAGCCTAACAAGGTCCTCAGGGTTGCGGTATACTTATATCATTTACAATTGTGATGTTCAGGGCCCAGCTTGAAGCTTGAAGCCCTAAGCCGGCAAAGCCGAGCCGCGGCTCTTGAAAGCCGGGCCAGGTCCTGCGCAGGGCTTCAGTTGGCCCAGGGCTTGGGCTTGAGGATTCCAAAGCTCGAGCCGGGCCACAAAGCCGCAGCCTACAAATTGGGAGGGATGCAGAATAAAAGGATGACAAAGAAGAAGAGCAGTGCCTTGAATTGAACAAGGGCTTCGCGAATCAATTCGTGGGGTGGGGAATTAACATAGACAATAATCCCACATCCTTCGATTGCCTTTCTTGAATGCTTCTCGGTCGGTGTCCATCTGTGCTGAAGTTTCCATGAATTGAACTATGAAAAAAGACAATGTTACGGTAGAAGAGCAGTGCCTTGAATCGAACAAGGACCTCCGAGATGAGCTTGATTATAGTCGCCCAAGAAACCCAGTGTGCAACATTACACCATACTGCTTTTATTACATGCTGCTCACCCTTGATCTGTGCTGAAGTTCCAAATCCCACAAGGAAAAAAGAAACAGAGGAAGAGCCGCAGGAGCAGAGCAGTACCTTGGTTCGAACAAGGACTTCGGGACTAAATGGGCGGTAGCAAACGTACAAGACAAAGATAATCCCGCATGCTGCCATACACTATACTGCCTTTATCACATTGTTTTTCAACCTGAGTGAGTGCAAAGATTTTGAGGAGTGCCAAGCCCATAAACAGGGAGTCTCCCGTGTGCACCACATACTGCCTTCGGTTTTATTTATGCTTCTGATCGTAAATTGACTGAGGGGATAATATAGAGCCGAGGGAAAAGCGTAGAACTGGATTACACAAAAAAAGCAATGATTGGATAGAGCAGCACCTTGAGTCGAACAAGGACCTCCGGGTTTATCTTGAAGAAATTGCTAAGAGATGACGGTGTGCAGCATTACACCATACTGCTTTCCCAGCCCCTTCATATGAACCCATGCGAGTCACAAATTATGTGGAGCTGAAAAAGAAATGTACACCAGATGCTAGCAGGAGCAGTACCTTGAGTCGAACAAGGACCTTCGGGTTCAATTTTCGGGACGCCACAAGAATAAAGAAACCCAGTGTGTGGCATTACACGATACTGCTTTTCTTGTGTGCTTCTTAGCCTGAATCTGTGCTGAAGTTTCGAGGGCTGCTGAGTTAAAATTGGACAAAGAAAAAAAGTAGGAAGGTACCAAAGAGCAGTACCGTGAGTCGAACAAGAACTTCGGGAATAAACGGCTATAAGAAAGGACATTAAGATGATCCCGCGCGCTTCAATACACCATACTGCATTTATCATGCTGTTTTCGAAATTCCCCCCAGGTGAGTGCAAGAATTTTTGGGAATGCAAAAGAAGAAGAATAAAGTCGACCGCAAAACAAAAAAATCCGAGATATGCTTGGCTTAGAGCAGCACCTCGGATCGAACCAAGGACTTCGGGAGTTGGTATGACTGGAGGAAGCTTTGAAGATAATCCCGCGTGCGTCGATACACTATACTGCTTTATCTGACCTCCTTCTCAACCTGGCTAACAGTAAATTTGCAAGGCCCGTGGACTAAAAAGTGGATCTCCGCCAATCAGAGCAGTACCTTGATTTGAACAAGGACTTCGGGATTCAATGTCAGGGGGAGCGCTCAAGAAAACCCCGTGTGCTTCCGTACACTATACTGCTTTTCTTGCTCACCGTCAATCTGTGCTGGGAATTCCACAAAGAAAAAGGATGAGGCAGTTAAAGTTGAAAAGCGCAGTACCTCGATTCGAACAAGGCCTTCTGGAATCAATCAGATTGGAAGCATACAAGATAATCCCGCGTGCTTCGATGCGCTACACTGCCTTGACCATAATGTGTTCAACCTGGAACCTGGGTGAGTGCAAAGTTTTTGAGGAATGCAGAACCAGTCTAAGAATAAAGGGGGATCTCGTGTGTTGGACTACGCCACATACCGGCTTCGGTTTTGAGCGGATAATACTTTACCATATGTATCAGCCTGTGTGTGCCCGAATTTGGGGCAACGGATACGAACACAAGAAAAAAAAAGGATGAAGCTGGTGACACTGCAGTACCTTGAGTCGAACAAGGACCTCGGTCCTCGGGAATCAATTCGTGAGGACAGGTACAAGATGGTCCCGTGTGCTGCCATACACCATACTGCTTTGTATCTACTCTTCTGGTGCTCGACAGCATCCAAGGAATTTGGAACCACTGTTGAAAACTACTGCGGAATTGGTTCAAATCTTGTCCCTTCGGCCGGCGGCCTTCTCAGTGATCGTGCAGACTGATGCCACGAATAGCGCCGGGTAATCCAGAATAGCCAGGGTGATTGCGCAGCAGGGAGTTACACGCTTCCCGGTTTGCTGTCTGTTGCAACTTGCAGTGCAACAGCCGTCCAGTGTTGGCCTAACCTTTAAGGCCTTAATCTGATTAAGGGTTATTAACCCCTTATCATAAGGCTTAACGGTCGGCCTCCTGGGACGTTAAGGTCTTAAGTGACAGCGGGCCGATTTACCCGGTCGCATCAATTGATGAGGCTGACGGAAATTTGCTTTGGACGACACCAGTCGCCCTATTTTCACAAGGGAACAATATTAGAGTAGAACAGCAGCCACAGGAAATATCAAAAAGAAACCTCCCGTCATGAACTGGTCACGCACGTGAGGTGGCTTGGAGTATCCCGGTATCTGAAAACCCCCTAGAAGACTGAGAACCAGGACAACCAAGAATCTGAGAATGTGTATGTGTAGTAGATACCTTATAACCTCCCCCGACACACAATAGTGTGACAATACGATGCATTCCGCTCTCAACTGAACCGTAGGAAAGTATTTCCTAAAATGGACAATAAGGGCTTAACCCTGCCCTTAAGGTTAACCCTTAAGGCTTAATAAGCCTTAACGGTCCTGGAGGAGGGTCTCTAAGGGTTAATGGCCAACACTGCCTGAGCCGTCACAGTTGGGGCTAAAATTGATTGCAAGAGCTGAGTCCAGCCACGTTCTTGTGGGCTCAATTTTGAATTCAGCACCGGGAGTACCACAACAACGCACAAAAGTTCAACCGAAGCCTCCCGAATAACCCCGAGAATTCCCAGCGCCGGGTGGAGAACGTTGAACCAAAAAGCCCAACAAGGAAATATGATTGCCGAATGCGCCGATGATATTTGGATGACACACCTTTCCTCCCACCTCTTTCTTCCAATTGTCTCTCCTCCTCGCCGTCGCACGCTTGCTGCTCGCCGCTGCCCACGACGACGCCGACGCCCTCCTCGCCACTTCAGGAACCTTCGATCAGGCACTTGGTTCACCTTGGCGACTCGGCGTCTATATCGATAGCTTCAGCTTAGAGTCGTATCTTGACTAACGCAAGACTAACGTCGAACATTTCCTCGACCTCGCGCTCCTCCAGCGCCAGCGCACGATCCTCAGGCTCCGGCCCCGTCTCCTCTATCGCCTCCTCTGTATCCGTCTCGGGCACCCTGTAAGGTCCCGGCGTACTCAGGCCGCCGTACTCGTCCTCTCGCAGCCGTATACTTACCGTAGTCATTCCGTTGTTCTGTTCTGACTCCTTACTGACTCTTACTGACTCCTACTGAGTCATTCCGTAGTTACTCGTAGCCTATATAAATCCACCTAGACATAGCCTACAGTAGAATACTTTCCCTTGAACAGAGAGCACTTACCTCCGTTCTCTTTGTTCCTCCCTCTGAACTTCTGGCCTTTTGTGTGCTTCACTCCCAAAGGACTCGAAGCTTCACACTTTTTTGAACGGACACTCAGCTCCGCGTTCATCCCGCTCGCCGACGACTTGATCCCCCGACGGCATCCATCCATTTTTTTTCTGCCACACCATTAACATGGTCTCCACCAGGAAAGGTACCTATGAGACCCCACCTCCCACCCGTCGTCGGCGTAAATCTCTTCACCAAGAGGTGGCCAATGCGGACGCGATACCGCATGGGGGCTTGGATTCTGACTCTTACTGGTCAGGATCGGAGTCTTCTAGTAATTCTGCGAAGGAATATACCGCAGTCGCGTCGAGCGAAGGCTCCGCAAGCGTGTTGATTGGCGACTCTACGAAGGGCTTGAGCGGTGGCTCACCCGAGGCCTTGAGTATCAGCTCGGCCGGAGGGCGCAATGATCCTGATTTGTCGCAATCAGTGGTTGCTTCCGTTTTGCGTCCCATCGCAATTTCACGCACCTCATTGCCTTCCACGGCAATTGGATCCCTCTCGTCTCGGGTTGAGACTGGACTTCTGTTGAGCTCTCTTCCTGTTGCGGGCAGCATTGTGATTCCTGCGCCGGACATACCATCTGTGGTGACAGCGGACAGTGACAGACGTGTCATCGTGGCCGGCGCCAACGCATTCAAGCCTAGTTTCGAATCTAGAGCAGATAAGACGTACCATGTCCCTGGAAATATCGTGAACGAGTTTGTTTTGCCCAAAGCATTCGCACGACGCACCCGTTCATCCGTGAACTTGAATGCGGCCAGCATTGAAACTGCCGCTCGGTTCTTCCCTCTCTGGTTCAGGCAGAGCATCGAGGCAGGGGAGGATGAAATCCAACGGATGGCACCCGTTGAAGACGTTGTAGGCGCTGGTCCCGATTCAGACCCGTCTTCTCGTCAAATGGTGCTGTATCGGCCGACCGCAGATTCCATTCGCGCCTGCGCCGTTATTGTTGAGGTACCGGATAGCGATGAGGCAGGAGCAGGGCCAGTGCAAGAAACGGCGAAGAAAGCCGGGAAACGGCGCCAGAGATCGCGTAGCCAGAGTCGCAAGTCAAGTCAAAAGGCAAGCGGCTCCGGCAAAACGGCTCCGAAGGCTCCTGGTAATCAAGACCACACATCGCGCGGCTCGTCTTCTGCCTCCAAATTCAATCGCGAGGATTCACTTCCACGAGGCGGTTACCTCTATCGTGCCATGTCTTCCGCTCCGCCGGATCCTCCTGGTTCTCCCTCCAGCTCCTCTGATTCCTCGTCCTCTGATTCCTCTGAATCGTCATCCTCGAGTGATTCTTCTTCTGAGTCAACTCCTGCTTCCGGTCCGGCGCGTGGTTCTCGGAAAAAGAGAGCTTCCAGGAAACGCAAGGAGGGTCGCTCCAAGGAGTTGGCGAAGCTTTTGCGCTCCGTAAAAATCAAGACTCCCTTCGTCTACGACGGCACAGCGGACTTTGATAAATTTGAGCAGTGGACATACGAAGTCGACACCTGGATCGATTTCAACTCCATTCCTACTCGCTGGGCTGTTCGTCTCATTGCGGCATTCGTCTCTGGGTCAGCATCCAAATATTTCATGGACTTTGTTGCCACAGATCACGGCTCGTTCAAGATGAAACAAATTTATTCTGGTCTTTTTGAATACTGCTTCCCCGTCGAGATTCGTCGCAATATGCGTCGGAATCTTCTCTCCGCACAGCAGCACAACGACGAGAAAATTCGTACTTTCATTCGTCGTGTCACTCGGCTTTCCAAGCGCCTAGCTGATGTTTCTGATCGTCAGATTGTGCAGATTATTTGGGACGGTGCTCTGAGCTACCTCCGTCTCAAATGGGCTGACGCCGGCTTCGACTTCGAGACCTCTTCCTTATCTGCTCTCGAAAATGCAGCTAAAGGATATGAGGTAGCTGAGACTATTCGGCGCATAGAAGCCGCCAAACGTACGGCTGAGAATGCTGATTCAAAAGCTGGTTCTCAATCCTCTACCAAGTCTACTACTTCTGGCGTGTCCTTGAACACTAGTGCCAAGAGATCGCGTATGACTGAGGAAGAGCGCGACAAATTCCGCGCCGAGAACCGCTGTTTTTATTGCCGTGAGATTGGACATTCAAAGCATAATTGTCCTTCTCTTCACGAAGCGCCTGCACCCAAGGTGCGCAGTGGGGCAGCAACTGTACTGAGTGATCGCTATGCATACCTCCGGAGTCTCTCACCTGATAGACTCACAAGGGAGATGCTGGCGGCTCGCCAATCCTAGATATTTCAACGTCTCCGTCTCCGTCTATATTTCCTTTTCTCTTTCTCTTGTAGTTACTAGATAATTGTGACCAATTCTCGGAGGGCGAGTGTAAGGTCCCGGCGTACTCAGGCCGCCGTACTCGTCCTCTCGCAGCCGTATACTTACCGTAGTCATTCCGTTGTTCTGTTCTGACTCCTTACTGACTCTTACTGACTCCTACTGAGTCATTCCGTAGTTACTCGTAGCCTATATAAATCCACCTAGACATAGCCTACAGTAGAATACTTTCCCTTGAACAGAGAGCACTTACCTCCGTTCTCTTTGTTCCTCCCTCTGAACTTCTGGCCTTTTGTGTGCTTCACTCCCAAAGGACTCGAAGCTTCACACACCCCGACCTTCTTATAGACCCTCTCCACACCGTTCCTCTCATCTTGTTTCTTTCAGTTGTTTCTCCATCCTCACCGTCGAACGCTTGCTGCTTGCTGCCGCCCAAGACCACGACGACGCCCTCCTCGCCGCTTCAGGAACCTTCGATCAGGCACAGGTTCTGTTCATTTGGTTCCTCTTGGCTATGTACTATGCAACTCGAGCCTTGAGGTTGTGCAACGATGAATACTGATCCAATCCTGGCAGTCTGCCAGTGAGCCTTGAATCGTAGTTCAATTGCCTCGGAGTGTAGCAACACTGGTGGGACGGGCAATACAGTTGAAGCCCGAGACAGCGTGGTCCGCTGCGTGGAAATAGCTCCGGGGCTATTTTCCTCTGGTTCCATCATATCATGTTTATCAGTCGTAAACATGCACGGACCCACAATTGACCGGGCAACGCACCTTGGACCCACCGTGGACCCACCTTCAAGGTTGGTCACTCCTCGCCACCAAGTGTTCTACGCTCGTAGCACCATCCAGGCGGCCAGAGCCGGCCAGCTTCCCACAGCTGGAAGTGGAGCTTCTCGCCTCGTCGAATTAGATACGCCGCTAGTGCCCTTCACTGGCTACTTGGCCATCAGGAACGCCGTTTCTCTCATTTCGCGACACTTTTGCACGCTATTCGACACCAGACTCGTATCCCTCCGTTTTTGTACTCGAAAATTCGGCACCATCAAAGAATCCTCCTTTCATCGACACTGGCCCTTCAGTGAATTTACCGCCGAGCTCCCTCGTATGTTAAAATATTCTTCATTCACGATGTCAGATACTTGACATCTCTTCAGTGTCTTATGGCTTTCGAAAGGCCCCACCAATCCTCTGCGACCCGAATACCCACTCACGCGGAAATTTCCGCTCGCGTGGCCGACCGTATCCAGATCGCGGCCCTCGATGCCCGCATTCTTGCACTTGAAACTTCAATTCGCATCCTCCGGGAGGAAAGAGGGCTGCTGCAGGAGAGAGTGGTTGGCTACACGTATCCAGTGCTTACTTTGCCAACCGAAATCGTCTCGCATATCTTCGTCCATTTCCTGCCGGGCTATCCTATTTGCCCTCCGATATCCGGCCTGCTCTCGCCCAAGACATTAGGACAGATATGCCACAGATGGAGAGAGATTGCTCTCTCTACTCCCGAGTTGTGGAGCGCCATCTCGCTGTTTCTGACCAGTGCCCGCCACCTGCAGAAGCCAGGACCCCTCCGCATTCTCGAAGGCTGGCTCGAGCGCTCGCGTTCTTGCCCACTTTCTATCGACCTGGGAGCGCTTCTGCCTTGCTATGGTGGCAACATACAAGCTCAAGCCCTCGAGCCCTTCGTCGATGTGCTTTTCTCGCACAGTTCACGCTGGCAGTATGTGAAGATAAAACTGCCTTTGAGCCCCGCTCGTATGAGCACGGTGCATGCGCCTTTACTTCGGAGTCTGAACCTCTCCGAATGGTCGAGTTCCAGGGATCTTGACTGGAAGAGTTCCTCCATGGAGGCGCCACAGCTGCGACAGGTTACCTTGGATTTGTATCACACGGCCTTCCTGCCGCTATTTCCTTGCGCTCAGTTGACAAGTCTTTGCACAAGTTCCATTTCGCCGCGGCAGTTCGTCGAGATCCTGCAGCACTTCGTCAATCTCGTAGATTGCAAGTCGACGATCCTCCTTCCTTCCGCCGGGGCCGATGGGGAGGAGATCAATCCGCGACACCTCACCCTGTGCTATCTGGAACTCCTGGACCTGCGTATCTGGTCTGGCAAAGGTCACCCACCGAAGGGGTGGCTTGACAAGATCGCCCTGCCCGCCCTGCGCAAACTGCAGATTCCAGAGAGCCTCCTCTACCCTGATCCCGTCGCTGTACTTGTGGCCCTCGTGTCCCGATCGCGCAGCCTGGAAAAGCTGCGCATCCCCGGAGGTGACTGGCAAGCTGAAGCTTATCTTGCAGCTCTCCCTCCTGATCCCGATCCCCCTCCCCTGGTTGAATTCACTTACTTGGACAACTTTTTCGATCGGTGACAATTCGACGCTTGTCGCAGCTTTCGTTGACCGACTCTCTGTCAGCTATAGTCCGCCCCGTTATGTCACGTACCATTTCATTCACCTTCCTCTCTTTCACCTATTCTTTTTTTCTTCGCAGAATGCCTTGATCACGATTGGCGGAAACGCCGAGCGAACAGTTTCGCTGGATTCTGTGTCGAATAAAGCTTATCCTCTCTACTTTCTCAGAGCAATGTATCGATGTAAATCGCTAATTCAAAGCACATTCCGATTATTCTCCTTGATAGTCTCCTCCAGACTCGTGAATCCCTTCTGAAAATGCTTCCTCAACAGGGCCTCAGACTCTTGCGTCGGAAGCTCGGTCAAGTTCTGTCCCAGATCTGGCCCGTCCTCGATAAACAGCCGCGCGGGGTTCTGTTTTTTTCAAGATCGCAAAGATACCATTCCAGCTATACACCTCCGAGACCGCGAAAATGCGCTTCCCGTTGCACGCCGGGTCAATGAGCGCGGCGACGTGCAGGCGACGCGCAGTGTCCACGACGTTGGTGGCCCACTCGGGGAAGGTGAGGATACTGCTGACGCCGCACATCCTTTCATTGGCCCTATCCTCAAGCTGGATGGGTGCCGTGTAATCTGAGGACTGCCAAAGGAGAAATGAAAAAAAAAATCAACAGATGGAAACAGCGAGAAGCAGTACCTTGGTTCGAACAAGGACTTCGGGAATCGATTCGTGGGGAAAGTCTACAAGACAATCCCGCGTGCTTCAATACACGGTTACACCATATGTACTGCTTTCCTTGCATGCTTTCCAGTGGCTCTTTGCTGGAGTTTCAAGGAATTCCACAAGGAAAAAGGAGCAGGAAGGAATTAATGGAGAGCAGTACCTTAAGTCGAACAAGGACTTCGGGAATACAGTAAGTCAATATAGCCAGACACATTAAAACAGTCCCGCGTGCTGCCATACACTACACTGCTTTCTCGACCTCCCCCTGTGTTGAAGTTCCAAGGAATGCAACAGGGAAAAAGGAACCGAACAACTTAAGAGCAGTACCTTCAATCGAACAAGAACTTCGGGAATTGATACAACACACATGGCTTTTTAAGATGATCCCGCAGGCTGCCATACACCATACTGCTTTTCCTACATGCTGCTCACCCTTAATCTGTGCTGAACTTTCAAATCCCACAAGGAAAAAAGAAACAGAGGAAGAGCCGCAGGAGCAGAGCAGTACCTTGGTTCGAACAAGGACATCGGGACTACATGGGCGGTAGCAAACGTACAAGACAAAGATAATCCCGCATGCTGCCATACACTATACTGCCTTTATCACATTGTTTTTCAACCTGAGTGAGTGCAAAGATTTTGAGGAGTGCCAAGCCCATAAGCAGGGAGTCTCCCGTGTACACCACATACTACCTTCAGTTTTATTTATGCTCCTGATCGTAAATGGACTGAGGGAATAATATAGAGTCGCGACTGCTGTGTTCAAGTAACGGTCCCGGAGCCGAGGGAGAAGCGTAGAACTGGATCACACCAAAAAAGCCACGATTGGAAAGCGCAGTACCTTGATTTGAACAAGGACCTCCGGGTTGAACATCTTGGAATCTTCACATCAAAAGAACCCCCTGGTTTGCGGCATTACACTATACTGCTTTCCCTGCCCTCTTATATCAACCCATGCCAGTCACAAATTATGAGGAGCTGAACAAAAAATGTGCAAGCAATTAGAAGGAGCAGTACCTTGGGTCGAACAAGGACCTTCGGGTTGAGATCAGTGGCAGACTAGAAAGCGGAGCCCGATGTGCGGCATTACACCATACTGCTTTCTTCACCTGTATTTCAAACTCTCCTACATGGTGGTAAAGCTGCGACAAATTCTAAAAGGAAAAAGGTGGCCGGACGACGAAGAGCCAGTACTTACATATTTTCCTCGCCCTTGTTTGTGAAGGAGGTCCCCCGTACCTCGCCGCCAAAGCTCTCGTACTGGGGTGGACAGGCTTCGGCAAGAAGCTGCGTCGGGGTAAGCCCACGGGCGGTGGCCATCCCCGCGAATGGTTTCGCGGGATGGGAGGCGACGGTGAAGGAAACGGGCATGGCTTGTCTGAGTCAATGGGCAGTGGGAGAGATGAAATGCGCATCTGTTGGTTTAAATAGAAAGCTGTTGAAGGCTGTGTGAGTTGCATCAGAACAAAATCAGAAGTAGAAGTCGATCACATGTTCTTGTGCCTCCGAGTAGACTGTGGTCTACGACGTTGATTATATGCCAGGGAAGGATACCTCGATATCGGGCAGGAAACCGGACTTGCCAGTTTTGCGCGACCCACGAAGATGACGCGGCGTACCGATTACTTACTCGCAATTCAACCACACAGTCCTTCGCAAGTCGTTCGCATCTTCAATGAGTCTGAAAGTCGGGGGGAGAAGCTCAGTCCGAGTTCGAGATTGCAAGGTGTGTGTGGTCTTTCCCTATGGATGGAGATTTACAAAGAATTTCAGCAACCGCATTTACTGACAGATTATCGAAGAGCCAGCAAATCAAGCGCGATCAATTTGAACTACAACGATATGGGCAAGTAACGAAATCAAGATAGCACACTCGCACTTCGGCAAAATCGTTATATATTACAGGCCAGAACATCACCTTCAATAATCCACAGCAAACTCATCCATCGGGTGCCTCATCAAGTCACGATAATTGAACGTGAGCAGCTCCGCCTCAAACAAACGGGGCAGATGCGCCTGGATGAACGGAACGAAGGCCGCATATCGCTCGGGCTCGTTCGGGAAATGGCGCAGGGAGAACTCGACCTCGCACAGGTCTTCTCTGTCCATCAGCATGGCGTCCAGAGTAGCCCACTCCGCCGGTGCGCACGTGGTCCACTGCTGGCGATGCGGGCGGTGCGGGTTTGCGGGGCGGTCGAGGATGGCGAGGGTGAGGACCTCGAGGTGCGGGGTGGAGGCGAGGGTGGCGGATATGATGGAGTGGAAGAGGTCTGCGGTTTTGGTGAGCTCGACGTCGATCCAGAGTTCGAGGAATATCATCTCCGGGAGCGGAGGAAGGTAGGTCGGGGGCTCCTCTGGGAGGATGTCAGATGCATTTCAGGACGTATGCGTACGGGAGAACGAACCTAATTCCAGTGTTAAATGTTCCAGCGTGCTCGCGCATGCGACCAGGAGCTCCTTGAATCTGGGCTGGAGGGGCTCGGGGATAGGCGGGATTGTAACGGCGAGCCGCCCCAGGTCCTTCATGAATTCTCTACGCTTCGGGTGAAGGAGGAAGGGAAGGATGGTTTCGTATCCGCCGTCGATGACACCGAGGTACCAGAGGGCTCCGAGAGAAGGGTACTGTCCCGCGTCTTCGTCCTCGGCGATGGATATCCTGAACAATAACACTTGTTCAAAAGAAGCCAATGCTCGCGCGACGAGAGACGCCGGGACATCGATGAGATTTTGCAGAGCAAAGCAACGCAGCGTCGGTAGTGAAAGGAAGTCGACCAAGCAGGGGTTCTGCCCGATCTGATTACTCTTGAAGGGACCCGTCGCGGCGCCTACAATCGAAAGATGCTCGATGCTTGATAGTGCCGCGAGAATGGACTTGAGAACTGGATAGTCTTTGGGAATGTGTTGAATATCGAGGGCCAGCCACATAAAGTACGGCCCTAGATGAGGGGATGAGGTGAGGAGACGCGCCGCGCGCTCATATGACGGGACGTCTGTGAGCGACATCCAGCGGAACAAGCGACGCTGGCTGGTAGCCACAAATGCTGTCGCGGTCAAGGAGCATGCTCCTAGGCTCGACGATGGGACCTCCTCGAGGATGGCGTCGATGAGTTCTTGGGGTAATTCAGGCATCGTCGTGGTCTTTGTTCAAGCGGCGGCGCGTGGGAGCCAGAGATCGATAATCGGCAACTGCCGGTTGATGGCGGAAACCTCCGAGTTGAAACTTCAACTTGAACCCCGGAACACCTTTTTCTCTTACAGTCATATCGTTCTCGTGGGTGGATCAGCGCACATCGTAGTTCGTGCTCGGCTGATCGTCGCGGCATGCTGACGTCCCCGTTGGCAGTTTCACTTCCCCGCTGTCCCGTTCATTGCTTCCATTGTGCAGTTTATTAGCAAGGCGTTAGACCAGGTCGTGTGTCTGTCCTTTCCCACTCGTGTGCCTGTCCCTTCCCCTGCCCGTGGCCCTCCCATGAATCGCATCGCATCCACTGGCGTACCCCGAGTTTGAATACACGGCGACACGAGCTCGTATGAAACCAGCTCGACACCCGGTGCCCGTCTTGGCGGCAGCCGCAGCTCTACAGCTATCCCATCTCACCACCTCAAGCCTCATCTCCGACCCTCATCCGGAGCAATACTTACTTATCGGATTAACCTCTGCTCTTGCCCTGTTCCCGTGCCTAACACAAATCCCTAATTCGAGGCCCGTGGTCATGCTGCCCATCGAGCTCGTCAAGTGCGGTGTATTGCGAGAAGCCGGGTTGCGATAGCTATTCTCTCCATTGACGTCGGTTTATCGACGTCTTCCGTTCCTCGACTGCTCGCGGATAAACGACACCCTCGGATACGCAAGGGCTAGACTTCAGTCTAGCTGGGCAGATGAGCTGTCCACTAGCGGCCCTGCCCGTCCCGCCCTATCCTCGACGTGCCGCCCGTCCGCGGATTTTTAATTTACTGTGTTGCCCTTGATTTTTACCTCCCATGGTACCTTAATCATTTACCTCCATTCTCTTCGCGCAAATCTATCTCTGCTCCGGCATAACCGTCTCCGGTCTCAACCCGTGCTCGGCGGCGTGCAAAGCAAATAAAGCTAAGTTACTCGGAGCCGTACACTCCGCAAACCCTCAATACCGATCCATCTCGCAAAAACCGCCTCCCACCCACCCGCATATGACTAGACACCGGAACTGGGCAATATTTTAAGAAAGAAAGAAAAAAGACATTATCGGTAGAGCAGCCTAGAGCATAGTACCCTCGAGTCGAACGAGGTCCTCCGGGTCAAATGGAGTCTGTGAGCCACGTCCAACCAAACCCGGGGTGCAGCCGTACACCATACTGCTTTCTATACCTCCTTATTATGGGTGTGAGGTGCGCCTCAATTTAGCAGAAGATGGGCAAGGGAAAAAAATACGCCAGAGACGGCACAGAGCAGTACCTCGAGTCGAACGAGGTCCTCAGGGGTAATCTCGGTGTGATCAACACGTGTTGAAGCCCCGCGTGCGTGCATACACCATACTGCCTCCCATTCTTGATTACGAGTCCTAAAATTTTAATTTTAGACTCGTTGATTATATGATTTTCGTCCGCCACTGACCTCGACCACCAACCCCCCTTGATGATGGACTGTGTCTTTAACATCTCAACATCTCGACATCTTAGCGGTTTCACCTATTGTTTTCCTTGTGTTGGGTACGTGTCTTTTTTCTTTTGTTGTTGGACGTGGCAAATTATGATGTTTGTTGGATGTTTGTCGCGTCTTGGTATTGCCAAACGTCCTCAAAGGAAAGGAAATTTCCGGCCCTTCTGTTTCAGTCATGTTTTGTTTTTTCCTTATGCTCCATTAATGCCCTCTCTCTTCTTTATCCTTATTAAATTTTTGTCCAGAGACTACTCACGCTCGTTGCCGATTCACATCATGATTTGATGTCGGATGTATCGGCACGCTCGGCTCGCGAAGATAATTGTCGCCCTTGCACTTGGATCTTGAGCTTTGCTGTCTGATAGGGGCTCCTCGGGCTGGGTCGTGCGTGTGATCCGACCCTGGTTGCCTTCGGTTGACGTTTTTGAGGTAAGCAATGCTTTGACTTTGGTTCCTTACTAGAGAGCGCGCAGCGCGCCTCATTCAGCACGCGTGGGAGGGACAGCAGCGAACAGCTCGGGTACGTTGTTTCTTAAATCATCAAGTACATATTTTACTATAGACTGACAAGGAGGCGCTCCACACGAGCCTGAGCCGGAATCCACCGGATTGTTTTGACCCTCGCCTTCACACTCCTCCAAATAATTTCAGCCCCCGGTGTGAGACGACGTGAAGGCCGACATCCATCGATCATTTTATGATCGCCGTGATTGGACCGCAACCACGGGTGGAACGGCTTCGGGGACGTCAACATCCGAACATCGACGTCTCCGCAGTTTAATCTCTGCTATTGTTTCCCTCGCGGTGGGTGTACTACGTGTCTTTTTCTTTCTTAGGCTAGGGTGGTGTCGATCTATTGTTTTACCTTCTCAACCTCGGGAGTCATACGCAAGTCCTATGTGTTCACTTTGTGCAGTTTTTTTTGTGACGTGGCTTTTGTTGTAATCGATCCCGGCAAACGTGTCACTTTATTGTGTTCAGTGAAGCAGTCAATATGTCACATGGTGGGCCATACGTGGCTGCCTGAAAGATCGGGGGGACCGGTATGCCCTCAGGTGAAGGTATTGCGCTTCCTCAGTTCTGAGTGTCGCCCATGAAATAGAAGCAGCTCATCTTAAGTTGTAGTCGGTTTTTTCGAATTTACAACTTGAGTTTCCTATAACTCAAGTTTCAGTTAGGTGCAGTACGACCTGCATATTGCATGCATGTAGATAGTGGCCAATACGACTTAAGTTCACACAACTCAAGTCTTGCCCCGAACTTAAGTCCTCATTACAGATGGTCATGTATAGGGACGTGGTTCTCGCCCTCACACAACCCTCTCGTGCAACTGAAGTTCTACAACTTAAGTCCGGGCCACTCGAGTCCCCAACTCCAACCACTCGAGTCCCGAACTCCAACCACTTGAGTCTCGAAACTCAAGTCCACTTCCGTCCGCAACTTCAGTCCGGCAATAGCACTTAAGTCGTGCAACGGAACTTGAGTCCCATCCCACCCGCCACCGCCGCCCGGTACCCGACTCATGGCATCGAGTCACAGAGACCGTGGTGCTCTGCCCCGTCGAATATGAGGCAGGAGAGAAGGAGGGGGGGTTGGGGAAAGGATGGCATTGGAGAAAAAGCCATGGAAAACACTCGAGCGCCTGTGCCACCGCTGACGAACAATTCAGCTCAAGCATGAGGGAGGTGTTTGTTCGCACCTGCTTGCTGCTTATATTGTTCCCCTCTGCCTTTTCTTCCCCTGGTTCCGTTCGCCGGGGGGGGTGGCATGCCGCATGCCACCCAATATTCAAGTTCTCGGGATGAGGGCTGATAAGCAGACGGAATGACCAAGGAAATGTGACTTACTTACAGGCATGTGCCGCCGTCTCGAGCCCAGTTCGTCAACAGCTCGTGCAGGTCAGTGGCTGGATGGTGCTTGGTGGTGGTGGTGGGGGAGAGAGAAACGACAAGTCAGAATTCCGTAACGCGTGATGTTAGCGAATCACAATGGGCGGCCGTTATCGCCAAACATGTCATTACACATCATTGGACTTGGCTCTCACTTCGATCTGCTCTCGCTGCTTGGATCCTCTCCTCCACACCTCACTAGCCACCTCTCCCCCGCCCCGTTCCCAAATCACTCCACGCCTTAGTAGTGTCACCCGGGAGTCGAGACAGTGACGGCTGACCCGCTCACCCGGTGGCATGATACAATGACCGTCTGGTATGCCACTCTGCTGCCTCATGTTCTCAGTGCTGACTATGTGACCCAAGGTGCTCACGGAATCAATGATGATAACTAGAGGTGTGTTTCTGTTCAGCCTTCTTTGTTTTCCTCAATAATAATCATAAGATTTCTGCTAGCAGTTCGGATCCCGGCTTGGGTCGCACACGCTCAAGTTTTAGCACACAACTCAAGTCTTTGGGCCCCACTCTGGTACTTCCAATATTTTTGTAATTGGTCTTGTCTGTGTTTAACTTGAACTCAAGTGTTCCAGAACTTGAGAAGTGGTGCGACTCAAGTTGTTCAAACTTAAGTTCCATTTATCATCACATACATACATACATACATCGGTTCCACGAGCTGTACCGTATGGTAGTAAAACTCAAGTTGTTTGAAACTCAAGTTGTAAATTCGAAAAAACCGACTAGAACTTAAGAGGAGCTCCTGAAGTACTTGGTCGCCCAAGGGGGAAAAAAAGGACTCGAACTTGCCATGCGGAGCAGTGGCCTTCAAAAACTAGTTATTTGTGCACCTGGATACTGCGAAATTCGAGAGACTTCAGGGAGCGGAGAAAAAAAAAAAGGCAATGCCGCATGCACATTTTCCAGAGCAGTACCTTGACTCGAACAAGGTCTTCGGGGGTCAAGTTACACATCAAAGCTTTCCAATTAACAAAGTCCCGGGTGCAGCCATACACCATACTGCTTCTGATACCTGGCTCATGGGACACTAAGGTGCTGCTGTTGACTCACGGAATCCAAGAAAAAAAATGGGTGCATAAGCAGAGCAGTACCTTGATTCGAACAAGGGCCTCGGGGTTACGCGCCTGAAAGAGTTCTTAGAGAAGCCCCGTGTGCAGCGGTACACCATAGTGCTTCCTGTGCCCCCTTGGTTAGGTTGTGAGGTGCACCTGAATTTACCACAGCGCAAAGAAAATAATGTCCGCAGAAAAAACAGAGCGGTACCTTGGATCGAACAAGGTCTTCGGGGTCAACGCGATGCGATCACTATCTATTGAAGCCCCGCGTGCATCGATACACCATACTGCCTCTCTGACTGACATTTCACCCCGGCCACTCACCCCAGCCACCTTGAAGTTCACAGCACTTCAGAGAATGGCCTTTGCAGGAGCAACATTCGGTTGGTCTCGGATTACAATGCATTGTACAATACAAAACCACAACACCACCCCGGTTAATGCAGGCGGTGGACGTTACCAGAGGCTCCACTGAGTAGGGGAGGTGAAAAAAGTGTCGACCTCAAAGAGCAGCACCTTGATTCGAACGAGGTCCTCGGGGTTGAATTCTTCAGAGATCCAACAGATATATAAGCCCCGTGTGCCTTCATACACCATACTGCTTCTCATACTCAATTATTCCAGCGGTGAAATGCACTCAAATTTTGGAAGCAAAGGGGAAAAAGGCAGAACCAATAGCGAACAAGAGCAGCACCTTGATTCGAACAAGGTTCTCGGGGTTACCCATCAAATGCTTAAAGCGGAAAAGCAGAGAAGCCCCGTGTGCAACCATACACCATACTGCTTTCTACGCTATTTGAGCGATCACGGGCACCCACTGCCACCCAAATTTGAAAGAGAAGGAAAAAAACGGAGTAGGAAGAAACATAGAGCAGTACCTCGAGTCGAACGAGGTCTTCGGGGTTAATCTCGGTACCATTTATTAAAACCCCATATGCATGCATACACCATACTGCTTCCTGAACTCAATCATCTGAGTGATCAAGTGTATTACCAAAATTTGGAAGAGAAAAGAAAAAGGTGGGAGAGAGTTGAACAAGAGCAGTACCTTGATTCGAACAAGGTCCTCGGGGTTACTCTTGGTGCCTCTGTCATGTATTGATGCCCCGTGTGCATCAATACGCCATACTGCTTTTCCTCCTTACCTTTCAACTTGAGTGAGTGCCGCAAAATTTGCCGAGTTTAACAAAAAAAAAAAAAACAGTGGACCTTTCACGAGACAGCAGCACCTTGAGTCGAACGAGGTCTTCCGGGTTAAATGGTTTCGGAGTGTGACGCAAACGAAACCCGGTATGCAGCTGTACACCATACTGCTTCTCTTTGCAGTATTTCAACTTGGGTGAGTGGCACAAATTCTGAGAACTGGGTACAAGACCACAGGCTACATAGGAGAACAATACCATCCGGGTTTAATATGTGGAACATGCGCAAGGGACCAGAGACACCGGATATGCAGCGTTACACCATGCTGGTTTCCTGGCCAGTAGCTATAATTCCTGTCTGGATGTCTGTGATCGGGAGAAATTTTACAGCCCGAGCACAGCAAAAACGAGAAAGAAAAATAGCTGGTGGTTTGCTTGACCAGAGCAGTACCTTGAGTCAAACAAGGACCTCCGGGTTGAAATTGCACACCTGTGTCAAACGGCCAGCTAAACTCGGTGTGCAAACATACACCACACTGCCTCCTTCAATACTGTTCTCAACCTGGTGCACTTGGATTGTCCGAAACTTGGGAAGAGCCGCACCGAGATGAAGTAAAAAAAAACGGTGGATGGAAATAGCTAAGAGCAGTACCTTGAGTCGAACAAGGACCTCCGGGTTCATCTTGGAGAAACTGCTGAGAGACCCCGGCGTGCAACAATACACCATACTGTGTTTCTGACCTCCTTCTTGACCTGGTTAACACCTTCACCTGTGAG